TCAATCATCTTTTATCCCAGGCTCCATATATTTAAGCCTGAGTCCTAATGCAAAGGATATATAGGTAATGAGCCAGTAAAATCTAAAAGCACCTGCTTGTCTAGAGAATCACCATGGGACATTTGAGCCCAAGGCATCAACAGCACTGGCACCAGCAACAACAGGGCTGGCAGTATTGGCAGCAGCATTAATGACAGTGGAAGTGCAGTTAGTGACAACAGAGAGCCTGGCAGCCTTCACATCATCTCCCTGCACCTTGAGCATCCACAGCCTGGTATCAATGGCAGCAGAACTGGTACACAACAGCAAAGAAGCAGCAGCAGCAGCAGCATCTTCCATGCCAACCAGTGGCACTTTGGTTCTCAGTGACTGACAGCTCAACAAAGCCTAGGTAACACAGTGGTATGACAGCAGAGATCTTGCACTCAGCCATAAATGGGATAAAACCCAGAAAATGCAAATTGTGAGCTATGGTGACAGTGGTAAAATTATTTAACCTCTCTAAACTCATATTTCTTGTGTGTAAAGTGAAAATAACAGTAGTTCCTGTCTAATATGATTGTGGTGACAATTAATGAGATAATCTACCTAAGAAATTTAGCATAGTACCTAGAAAATGATAATGACTCAATAAAGGTGGCTCAAAAAATAGGAGACAAATCTAAGACTCCATGTGCCATGAGGGCTATGTCTTATCAAGTTTCATATGATATACCCAGGGATTCCAAAATTTATCTCAAAAGAATATGAGAGGTGTTGGCATATGCATGGCCTGAGAGGAACGTTAGATTGTGGCTGCTACTTTTGCCCTAGTTTTACCACCTGTGTAAGCACAGGTGGCCTGGGAATCACAGGCTGGACTAATAACCATATTTTCCAAATTTGCTAACTTCAAACCGTCAAAGCAAGCATTTGCTTTCCATTCATATGACATAGCACAACATTAAAAAACAAAACCTTTAAACAACTTCATTAACTCAATAATAAGATTCTTTCAGTACATTTTAATTTTTTTACAATTATACATATATTCTAAGAAATGCATAATTTAATAGTATTCCTATTTCAAAACTGATTAATATTTGTTATTTGTTATGTGCTAATTATGTAAGATTTGGGTACATTGTTCATATTAATGATACATATTAACAGGAGAGAAAAATAGAAGATTATTCTCCAAATTATAATAAGTAACAGCATGATTAAAAGTTTTTTCCAATCTTTCTTTAATCATCTTCAATATTAGTCCTATCTGCCCAGAAAATGTGTAGCAAGAAGCTTATGTAGTCTTTTATTAGACAATGATATATTTCCATCTTTTTTTGCTAAGTTTAGCAGATTCGAATGACTCCAGATGGTTAAAAATATTAGTAAATGAATTAAAATTGAAAAACCACAATACACATGCACCTTTACAATTTTGAAGAAAATACACATTTTCCAAAGTATAAAGTTTCACTGAAATAGGTGCCTGTCTACCCGCTAAGCTATCTGATGCAGTACATCTCAGAATTGTGATGCAATTACCCAACTCTGCCTAAAAGCAATTAGTCTTCAGAGCATAATGTTACAGGATTGCAGAGTTAAAAGGACCCTGAAAATTCTTCTTAAATTGAGCCACCTGTCAGTTTAGCTGCATCAATTGCATCTTGCTCAGTTCTTAACAGAAGCATATGCTGAGCCAGAATTAGGAGTACAAGATGTTTACGGGGGAGTACATCTACAAGAGATAAAGAGGAAGGAAATAAGATTATGCAGGGGAAGCCTTCAAACCACAGAGCAGATCCAACATTTGTGGGGAAAAATAGAGTAGGCAGAATTGGACAAGAAATATGTACAGAATAAATGTAGAGCTCACAAAGTTTTGACCAATTTAATGGGAAGCTCCAGAGCAAAACAATATTCTTGCCTTGGCGGAAACTGCCAGCACCTAGAACCTTCTCATGCTTATAATTCTCAGTCATTAGTTGGGGAATGATCTGGAAAAGCACTGCCTGCGTTTGAATGCTAAAAAGGATGCTACAGATTCTGCAGCTAAATGTCTGCTAACTATACTCCTCACAGCTGTAAAACAAGTTTTCTTGAAAGGCAGCATGACATCATGACTGCCACACATCTCAGAAAGGTGGTTAAGCCAAAGCCCCCTGACTGTCCTGTAGTGGAGAATGTACTACTTTGTTGAGTGCCAGTTCTGTTTTTGAAAGTGAACTGTGTGTGGCAGTTGCATATTTAATTTCAATATGAGGAAAGCTTCATCACACTGACATTAAATGCATGTATTCATATGTGGCTTCTGATTTTTTAAAATATTTTCATTCCTTAGATTCTCAAAACTTACTATATCCCTCTTACCGAATAAGTGAACTGTCTTTGGATAGTTGAAAATAATTCTGAACCCACTTGACTTTTCATTTGTCCAGTGTTAACACTGGAAATTACTTAAATTTCTCCAAACTCCATTTCTTGGAGAAATTAGAACCTCACATTGGCTGAGGTCTCAGTATTTTAAGATACTCACAGAGATGACAGACAATAATACTCAGTCTTTAGTACATGGAGACAGAGTAAATCTGGAAGTCAGTGATTATTGCAGATACCTATTTCTACTTGTCACTATACCCCAAAACTTCAAGGCTTAAAAACACAAGCATTTATTTGCTCATGAATCTATACTCTGAGCACAGCTCTGGGTGTTTTGGCTTGTCTCACTTAAATCACTCATGCAAGAAACATCTTCTAGAAGCTGAAATGGGGCTGAAATCCAAAACAGCATCGCTGATATGCCTGATGCTTTAGCCGGGGTAGCTGGACCCACTACTAGCTAACCTGTATCTCTCTCACTGTCTCCTCACAGCCTCCCTGGTGGGGTAGTAACCTGCATTACATGGTGACTAAAGAGCCCACAACAGTAAAAGTGGTAGCTGCCCAGCCAGCCTCTTTAAAGCTTAAGCCCATAACAGCACTACTTAACCTACACTGTAGTCATCAAAGCAGGTCCCACAGCTATCTCATGGATTAAAGATGGTGAGAAATAGATTCCACATCTTGGCAAGAGGAGCAACAAAATATTTATGGCCAACTGTAATTGACCACTGAGGCAAAGCTGTTATAAAGCCAGTAGTGCATTTGAAGCATCAGTCTTCAGGGACTGAGGAGAGACAGAAAAGAGAAAAAAAGAAACAGAGCAAAAAGTGGGTGTGCCCCAAACAGAACAGGTAGGTTCTATACCAAAGATAGGAGCAAAGGAAAAACAAACTATTTTAGTGTGGCAACTTAATCCAGAAAAAAAACTAGCAGTGGAGCTTTAGATCTCATTTAAATAAAACAATATTTTGTCTTACTAAGTATTGGATGCTATCCTAGTTTCATACCCTCTATGAATCTCATTTTCTCAACTAGCAAGGAGAGAATACAATATCTATCTCTTTAGGTTGATTAGAGAATCAAATGAGCTAATGAATCTATGAAATCTGTCCCACTCAGGAGTGGGGGGTTTTAGTTTGATTTTTTTCCTTTTTGTTTCTCCTCTTAACTTCAGGGAAAGGTATTGAAGGGCCACTCTTGACCCAGGAAAGGTTCATTGTCAGAAGGGTGGAGGCTGAAGGAGTTGAGCCAAATTTGATGAAGTACCATGGGTTTGTCTTGTGATTACAAAGTTATGTATGTGGGAGTTTTGAAGGCCTGCACAATGAATCATTGAGGGCTTCTTAGGTTTACATGTCAGAGACCAGAAGCTCTTGGTGTTCTTGGAAAATTCAGAATCCTCTGGAAGTACACTAAGACTTGGGCTAATTATGACCCTATAGCTTGTGGTTGTACCTCTGGGGCCTCTGGAATACTGGAATGGCCAATAGCCCTCTGTATCATTTATAAACATACCAATTACAAATATAATCATCCACTTGTTTTTAAAAACATGTATTGAGTGACTATTACTTGACAAACATTACACATGGTTATGAAAAAGACAAAAATCCCCTCCTACTTAGAATATTACTTAAGTGTCAAATAAACCATATTGTGTTTCATTCACTAATCATTATATGTATATAATAATCATTAAAATATTTAGGAAATGATTGTGTATTATAATATTTAATGAATATTTAATATTTACCTAAAATATTTAGAAAATTTGAAAAACAAGTTATAGTACAGTAAGAAGAACAGCAAATGACAAAACACAGATGATAAAAAAACAATATAAATGACTTCCAGCCACCAGACCACTTTCATTGGAGCCAGGGATTTTCAACTTTGGCTTATTTTTATTGAACAATGCAGCACCCTGAGAAAACCATTACAATCAATTGTTTTATAACAATATCTTTAAAATTAGTTCAAATAGTCATTAGTTGATACTGATGCCCCATATGCAAATAGAAAAGGAACAATGAAAAAAGTGAACAGAAATGGAAACACTGAAAATCCCTTTGTAATATATTAGCCTCTGGAGTCTGCCTTTTCTCTGTCTTCTGATGAAGGCTAGAGCTCTAGCTAGGAATGAAAGTGATTAGCTTGGATATGTACACAGCTGAACATAGAACCCCTAGCCAGTAAGATGCTAATGATGCTACTACACAGAAATCCCAACCTATTTCATAAGTAAGTATATAAATAAATAGATAAATAAATAAATGTAAATTTTAAAAAGTACTGAAATTATATATATTTCCCTAGAGTAATTTTCTAATCTAATAAAACAGTTATTCAACACATATTTGCTGAACTTGTTTTACCTAAGCTTCTAAGATTCAAAGACAAGTAAGACATCATCTAACTTCATCAAGTTATCAATATGTAATTATTAAGAATATTAATTTTGGATTTGAGAGCATCTTCCTTTTTTCCAAGCTTTATTAATATAAAACTGACATATAACACTGTGTAAGCTTAGAGTGTATAAGGTGATGATTCAATACATGTAAGATATTATAAAATGATCATCAAGATAAGGTTAGTAACACCTCCATCACCTCACAGAATTAATATTTTTTAATGCATGTCACTGACCTGGTGACTGGCCACACCACAGCAGGGCCAGAGTCAGTGAGTATGGTCAGCAGTTGTTCTTCAAGGACTCCAGCACACTAAGGCAGTAGCTGATATCCAAGTGTGACTCTAGCCTTGACAAAATTAATATTTTTAATGAAACATTTAAGTTTGCTCTCAGCAACATTCAAGTACATAATATAGAATTGTCAACTACAATCACCATGCCGTGCATTAGATTCCTAGAGCTTATTCATCTTATAACTGGAAGTTTGCATTCTCTGAACCGCATCTCTGCATGTTTCCCACCCCCAGGCCTGACAAGTACCATCTACTCTGTTTCTGAGTCTGGCTTTTTACAACTTCACAGGTCAGTGATATTATACAGTATGTGTCTTTATCTGACTTATTTATCTAACTTCTGACTTATTTATCTGACTTTATCTAACTTCACATAATGCTCTCAAGGCCTATCATCCATATTATCACAGATAGCAGGATTTTCTCTTTTTTTATGGCTGAATTATATTCTGTTGCATCTTCGTTACCCATACTCCACTGGGGTACACTTAGGGCTGTTTCCACACCTTGACTATTGTGAACAATGTGTCAGTGATCATAGAGGTACAGATATGTTGTTGAGATGCTGACTCCATTTCCTTCAGATATATACTGAGAAGTGGGTTGCTGGATATCATAATTCTATAGTTTTTATGGAACATTCATACTGTTTTCTATAATTACTGTACCAATTACATCCCCTCCAACAGTGCATAAGAGTTGTCTTTTTCTACTCCCTCACCAACATATTTCCTATCTTATATGGTTTCTTCTACATACACATTCATGTCACTATAATCACTGGATTAATATTGTTCACATTTAATAAACTCCCGAGAGTGTAAGTCCTACAAGGTCATAAAGCAAGCTCAAGATAACATAAATTACTAGATGCTTTGATTCTAAATCCACCTTTTTCTTTCCATTTGTGACACTCCTGATAATACCTGGTCCATGCTACAGTGCAGTGATCACTGTCCTCATGAATCTCCCACATTACAGATTGATGTGATCAGTACTTTTGTGACTCAGTCACATACTTTTTGTTGATAATGTATAATATTCTAACCACTTAATTGGCTCTCAGCCTCTTTCACTAATACCAATAATGAAGAGTTAGTGATTTCCATATATTTCAAAAAAATATTGCTTATCCTGAACTTCTAATAAACATTGTAAAATAAACTTTGTATTTAATTATATTTTAAAGTCTTATGACAAGAAGTATAGTGTAAAAAACTGCATATTGTGTTAAACACATAGAGACAGTCACTCTAAAAAGGTTACACACTATATTATTCCATTAATCAGATAATATTGAAATAACAACATTTTAGAAATGGAGAACATATTAATGGTTGCCTGGGGTTATGGATGGAGTGGGTGAGGCGAAAGGGATGTATGATTATATATGGGCAATAGGAGGAACCCTTACGGTAATCACATTGCTCAGAGTCTTGACCAACTTCTGCATTTGAAAAAATGGTGTAGAACTTACACATGAAGCACATATAAATGAGTACAAGCAAAACTGGTAAAATCTGAAGATTAGTAGATTGAATCAATGAAAATATCCTACATGCAATATTGTATTATAATTTTGCAAGGTGTTAATACTGGGGCAAACTGGGTGAAGGGTCCATGGTAACTCTGTATGTGACAACAGCATATAAATCTAGAATTAGCTCAATTACATTTCAACTAAAAGGAGACATAGAGAGCATGTGTTCATAAGAATCCCAATATAAAATGATACAAGGATAAAAGGTATCATGTAAACATGAGATATAAGTACACAATATATAAGGATTACCAAGTGTAATATTTTCAAAATGCTGTAGTGACAGAAACAAGAATTTAATTTAAAATGTAAGGACTTCCAGTCAAGATGGTGGCACAGGCAGACAGGGCTCACCTCTTCATACAACTACATCAAAATTACAACTAAAATATAGAACAAACATCATTAACAACCATCAGAAATCTAATTAAATGGAATTCTGACAACATTAAAGAAACCAAGTCCATCCAGACTGAGCCACAGAGCCCATAGCAGTGTTGTATCTGAGGCTCCATCAACCTGGCTAACACTATTTGACCTGCCTTAGAGAGCCCCAGAGACTCCGCCCCACCCAACTTACAGGCCCACCCAGCCTGTTTTTCCATATAAAGGCTGGTCTTGGCTTATGCTGCACAATTTCCTAAGTCCTCTGAAACAAGCAACAGCCCCAGGCCCTGCACTAGCAGCAGCCAGCCTAGATTCACAGCTGGGCTTCGCTTATGAATCTCCAAGCTCAGCATAAGTAGCAGTCATCTCAGATTGCTTTATAGCTCATGCAGGGTGGCCCCAGGCAAAACACAGGTAGGGGTTCACTTTGGCCCTCATCACCCAGGAAACTCCAGAGCCAGTGTACCCAGTGAACAGCTGTAGACCACATCAGAGTGCCAACACCCTGTCCCTGCATGGCTGATTCTCCACAGAGGGCGATGGTTGGTGGTCAGTGGTCACAGCCAACCATTGTAGCTCACTGGCCTGGATAGATCCTTCCCAGGGATCTGCCAACAGTAATCAAGGCTCAACTACAAGAGGAAGGTGTTCTCAGGCCACATAGAGGGCACGGCTCAAGTACCCAGGTTGGATGATAGGAGAGGCTGTGACAGTGTATCCCACAGGACACCTACTACATTAGACTATACTACCAAGACAGAGTCAAAGAAGCTCTACCTCATACATGGAAACAAACACAGGGAGGCTGCCAAAATGAGGAGATAAACATGGGCAAAATGCAAGAACAGATCAAACTCCAGAAAAAGAGCTAAATGAAATTGAGATAAGCAATCTATCAGGTGCAGAGTTCAAAACACTGGTTATAAGGATGATTAAGGAACTCAGTGCATAAACAGCATAAAAAAAGATCCAGTCAGAAACAAAGCATACACTAATTGAAATAAAGAACAATGTATAGGGAATCAATGGTATACCAGATAAAGCTGAGAATCAAATCAATATGAAATATAAGAAAGCAAAAAAAGAACCAATCAGAACAACAAGAAGAAAACAGAATCCAACAAAGTGAGGACAGTGTAAGCCACCTCTGAGACAACTTCAAGCATTTTAACATTTGCATCATAGGGGTGCCAGAAGGAGAAGAGAAAGAGCAAGAAACTGAAAATATATTTGAAAAAATAATGAAAAAATACTTCCCTAATTTGATGAAGGAAATAGACATGCAAGTCCAGGAAGCACAGAGTCCCAAACAAGATGGATGGAAGGAGGCCCACTCGAAGACACATTATAATTAAAATGCCAAAGGTTAAAGATGAAGAGAGAATAATAAAAGCGGTGAGAGAGAAGCTGTTAAGTTACCTACAGGGGAGCCCCCAATAAGACTGTCAGCTGATTTCTCATAAGAAACTGCAGATGAGAAGGCACTGGCAAGAAATGTTCAAAGTCATGAATAGCAGGAGCCTACAGCCAAGACTGCTCTACCCAGCAAAGATATCACTTAGAATGAAAGGGCAGATAAAGAGCTGCTCAGACAAGAAAAAGCTAAAGGTATTCATCATCACCAAGCCATTATTATATAAGATGTTAAAGGGGCTTATTTAAGAAAAGGAAATCAAAACTATGAACAATAAAATGTCAAAAAAAACCCATATTTATCAATTGAACCTAAAAAAACAAACTAAGCAAACAAGGACAGAGACAGACTCATGGATACAGAGTGTTTTGATGTTTCCAGATGGCAAGTATGTGAGGCGGAATGGGTGAAAAGGTGAGGGAATTAAGAAATACAAATAGATAGTTACAGAATGGCCATGGGGATGTAAAATACACTAGAGGAAATGGAGAAGCCAAAGAACTTATATACATGACCCATGGACATGAACAATGTATGTTAGGGTTGCCTGAGGGAGTGGAGGGTGCCCGGTGGAGGGCAAAGAGGGAAAATCAGAGCCGTAATAGCATAATCAATAAAATATAATTAAAAAATAAATATAAAATCAATTTACATTTAATTTCCTTTGAATTTTAAATACGAATATAAAACACCACATGAGAATTGTATGATTATTCCCTTGAACTTATTATCTTCATTCAAAAACAATTTGCTAAGCCAAATTTTCAAAGAAACTCCAAAATCCAACCAAGCCAAAACTTATCTTTAAGAAGAGAAGAAATGCGCTTAAAACAATTCATCCTCTGAACTATGTACATAACTTCTCCTACCAACTGTAAGGAATGTTTAGCTGCGGTGCTATGATTTATGAGGTGAGAAAGAAGTAAGGAAAATTACTTATAGGAGCATAAAAGATCGGACTGGATTAAAGTATATTTTAAATCCCAAATCTTTTATGCAAGTCTCTCTTTTAATATGCTAATTAGAACTAAGACAGTCTTTTAGCAGAAGACGGTCCTAGGAATATCCCACTTAAATATGTCCAAATATGAGGCACATGTGCCTAACGCTGTTCCTTTTAAAGAGTGTTGCTTATTCACCCAACTTGCAATAAAATAAGCCTTAGGTTGGTAGGTAAATGCCCAGTAAAGAGAAATCAAATTATGGTGACAAAACAGTGGACCAATTTACTTATTAATATAAACTAAAACTATGCTGCTTTAAGTAAACTCATAAGATTTCTAGCATCAGCATCTATTTCAGCCCCAAAGCCAGAGACTTAAATAATAAAGAAGGTGATGAATTTTCAGTCCTTCTTGTACTGAAAGAGAATCTTTGGAGAGATTGTTCACACAACTAGGGAAGGATATTTCGTTATTTTGACAGGAAAAGTCATGGTTGAGATTTCACAGACAATGTTTAGAATGTTCTTTATAAATACAAAGTACCAAAAATTACTAAGTACACAAAACATTCTTTCCTCAGTAGGTCAATCGGGTGTGTTGCCTTTTTTCCCATATAGATATGGCCTGGCTCCACCTTGCCACAGAGGGCTACAGCCGAAAACACAGAAGTACACAAAATAATGGCGAGAACTGGACTTCTCTAAATGTCGGAGGTTTCATGAAGCCATTTGCAACTTCTCTGTTAACTCAGATTAATTTCTCATGGGCATCCTC